AGGAATTGTGCCGGTCGACCCCCCCCTCCCCTCTCCCTCTCCTGTTTTATTTCCGTTACATTTCAGTGTGAGTTTCTTTTTGCTGGGGGGGGGGCACACTCCCCATTCCCCCCCCCCCAAAGGATGAACTCTTCTCAAAGTAAAGCTATATTTATATCAACCCCCCAACTTTGCTTTGGTCTCATTATTTCTAATGCCCCCCCCCCCCCCTCAACTTTGCCTATTGGATCGGTCTAGTGCCCCCCCTTCCATCCTAGGACCCCTGGGTGTCCCCCCATTATCCATGGAACCCCTTGTCGTCGTCCCCCCTCATTTCTGGGATCCCCTGTGTTGTCGCCCCCCCCACCTGCAAGGTACCACGCTGTGTGCGCCCCCCGCAGTTCGTATATCGGCCCCCCATCCCCGTTCAATTGTTGGCCATTGCGCCCTACGCCACGCCTCCTCCATGTGTTCCTATGGAGCTTTAAGCCACGCCCCCTTTGGTCCCCGTTTGAGCATTGAGCCACTTCCGCCGCAGTCTGATGACGATTCAGTCACGCGGCTCGGTCACGTGGCGCCCAACATGGCCGCCCCCACGGGGGCGCTGTGGCGGCGGTTGCTGCGCAGCGCTGCGGTGCGGGGTTTGTGCGGGACCGCGGCGGCGGAGGAGCCCGAAAGAGCCGTGTGGGTGCGGGGCGGGGGCGGGGAGGTGCGGGAGGGGGTTCCAGAGTGGTGCTGACTGCCCCCCCCATGTCCTTTCCGTAGGGTGAACGTGGTGTTCGTGGACAGTGCGGGGCGGAGGGTGGAGGCGCGGGGCCGCGTGGGGGACAACGTGCTACAACTCGCCAGGGAGTGCGGGGTTCCTATTGAGGGTACGGGGGGGGGGGGGCGGGGTTCCTATGGGGGGAGTTGCGGGGGGGTCTGGAGGTGAGGGGTTTTTGTAGGGGATGCGGGGTTCCTATAGAGGATGCAGGAATAGGGGTGTAGGGCTCCTATGGGGGATACGGAGTGTGGTGGGGGTTACGGGGTTCCCATGGGGGTTATGGGATGCGGGGTGGGGGTGCGGGGTTCCTATAGGGGTATGGGGGAGGGGGGGCTGTCGGGGGTTGTGGGGTGTGGGAATGGGAGAGGAAGCAGGAATTGTGCCAGGCGTTGGGAGCAGGATTGGGATTAGGGGTGGCATTGGGAGTGGGAATAGAACTGGGAATGGGTCTGGGGGGCTGAAACCGGATCAGGAATGGGACTGGGAATAGGGGGGGGTTGTCCTGGATGTTCACGTTTCCCCCCCCCTTCCCCCCTCCACCCATAGGGGCTTGTGAGGCATCCCTGGCGTGCTCCACGTGCCACGTTTACGTCAGCACCCCACACCTGGAGCGTCTGCCCCCCCCCAGCGAGAGGTAACCCCCTCCCCCCCAAAGTCTCCCTGAGACCTCCCTCCCCAAATGAGCCTCCCCCTATTTTTGTGCCCCCTCAAACCCCCCTATCATCGCCACCCCATCCCCCTCCCCAATGTCCCTTCCCACTTAATAACTTAATTAATTTCTTCCCCCCCCCGCCCCCCCCCTCCACCTTAGGGAGGAGGACCTCCTGGATACAGCCCCGCAGCTGCGCGTGGAGTCGCGGCTGTGCTGCCAGCTGACGCTCCTCCCGTCGCTGGAGGGCGCTGTCTTCACTCTCCCGCGCGTCACCCGCAACTTCTACGTCGACGGCCACGTCCCCAAAGGGCACTGACAGGAGCTGGGGGGGGACGGAACAACCCCCTCCCCCAATATAATGGGATGGGGACCCCCACCCCAAAATAAAATGTAATGGGAAGTGGGGTCACCGCCCCCCCCCACTAAAATAAAGTATGTTAGAAGTGATGAAGATGCAGAGCCCCCCCCCCCCCCCCCCCAGATATAATGGGATTGGATGGAGACCCCTCCCAAAAAATAAAATATATTGACAGCAATGGAGATGAGGACCCTCCCAAATATAATGAAATATAATGGGATGGAATGGGGACACCCCCTTAAATAAAATGTTATGGGGACCCCCCGAGCTGATGGTGTTGGGTTTCTTTTTTTTGGATGTGGGGGGGGGTGGGACCCATAGGACCCCTCCCCTCGCCCGCCCCATGGATCCCATTGCCCCATAGGGCCCCACTCCCCTCCCCCTCACAGCTGCGGCTGATTTAAGGCCGATTTGGTACCGCTGTGATCCGGTTCTGTTTCCGGTTTGGTTCCCTTCTCGCCTCACTTCAGCCCCAGTTTGAGTCCCGGTTCGGGTCGGTCCCATCCCGGCTGGGTTCCGTCCCGGTTCGGTTTGGATTTCGCTTCCCTCCCATCCCCGTCGGGTTTCCCCAACGGTTCGGTTCGGGAGCGGCGCTGGAGTTCGCAGAACATCCAACAACGCACGGAAACGGAGCGCGGAGGGGGGGGGGCACCGGGAACAGGTGGGGGGAGCAGGGAAATGGGGGGGGGGAAGGAAATAAGGGGGAAAAGTGGAAGGGAAGGAGGAAAAGGGGGGGGAAATAATGAGGAAAAGGGGGGAAAGCAGGGGGAAAGAAAAAAGTACGAGGAAAAGTAGGGGGGTGGGAAAAACAGTGGGGAAATGGGGGGGAGGGAGGAAATAATGGGGAAAAGTTGGGGGGGTAGTGGAGAAATGAGGGGGGGAAATGGGGGCAGAAGGGGGGGAAATTGGGGGGGAGAAGGAAATAATGGGTAAAAGTGGGGGGGGAGGAGAAAATGTGGAAAAGTGGGGGGAAATAGCGGAGGAAATGTGAAGGGAAAACGGGGGAAATTATGGGGGGGAAGGGGGGTGCGCAGCCAGGATCTGCCTCTAATCCCCCACTTCTCTTCACAGCGCGCCCCCCGGGACCCCCCCACGCCCTCCCAGCATTGGGGATGGGGATGCCCTGAGCCTCATCAGCCTCCAATGTTGGGAGACCCCCCCTCTTTTGAGGACCCCCCCCTCTTTTGGGCACACCCCCGGACATCGTTTTGGGCACCCCTCCGGCTATCGATTTGGGGACCCCCCCTCACTTGGATAGCGATTTGGGGACCCCTTGGGGGACACCCCCCGGTCTGGGGACCCCTTTGGGAAGCCCTTTAGGGACCCCCCCGATTTCAGGGACCTCCCCACTTTTGGAGTCCCTTTTGGAAACCCCCAATTTGGGGACCCCTGAATCTTTGGGAACAGTTATAGGATCCACCCCTCTTTTGGAGACCCCTATAGAACCCCCCCCACTTTTGGAGACCCCCAATTTGAGGACCCCCCCGGACCCTAGCACCCTTTTGAAGTCCCCTTTGAAGACCCCCCTGCATACGGAGCCCCTCCCACTCTTGGAGACCCCCAGTTTGGGCCCCTCTATTCCTTTGGGGACCCCTATAGGACCCCCCTCATCTTTGGGGACCCCTTTGGGCCCCTCCCCACTTTTGGAGACACCCAGTTTAAGGACCCCCCCGGATCCCCCCACCCTTTCTAATTCCCCCTCGAAGACCCCCAACTTAGGGACCCCCTCCCCTTCCCGCCCCCCCCGCCGCAAATCGCGCACCCCCCGGCGCGGGGCGGACCCCCGGGACCCCTCATTCCGTGGGGTCACCTTCAGCCTTCGTTTGGGCCCCCTCCCTAGCAGGGCCGACGGTGGAGGGGGGCTCCTCATCACCGCCCACCGCAGGTCAGCACCCTTGGATGCCCCCTCCATAACCTCCACATGCCCCCCCCCTCCCCCCCAAATGTCCTCGTTTTCCCCACCCCCCCACAGCGTCCCCTTGTGTCCCCCGCCCCCCATGTGCCCCTCCCCCACAACTTCCCATAGCCCCATGTGCCCCCCTAGTCCCCCCCATAAACCTAATGTGTGCCCCCCCATATGTGCTCCTCATAATCCCCCTCCCAAGTACCCACTTGAGTCCCCCCCATAACCCCCATGTGCCCCCCCCTCAAATACCCCATACGCCCTCCCCAATCCCAATGTCTCCCCCTCCAAATATCCCCCTTTGCCACCCCCTAACACCCCCCCCCCCCCGCCAACATCCTCCCCTCTCTCCACAGCTTCGGCCCCCCCCGCGGCCCCCCCGCGCACCGCCGACCCCCGAAGGTGAGGAAGGGGGGGGGGAGCAGCTCCGAAGACGAACGCAGTGCCCCCCCCGCTCCAGGTACGTTGTCCTTTAACTGGGGGAGGAAGCGGGGGGGCATAAACCAACGGTGCCCCCCCTTACTTTGTTCCGCCCCCCCCTTAGAGCCCCCCCCGCGAAGCTGCGCCTCCTGCAAAACCCAACGGACTCCATTATGGCGAGCGGCAGAGAATGGGACCCCGCTGTGCAACGCCTGCGGGATCCGGTGAGGGGGGCACCCCATAAATCCTCCCCCAGATAAAACCCAAAGGGGGGCACCGCCATAACCCCCTCCCCCCCCCCCCCCCCAAACCCAAATAAAACCAGAAGGGGGGAGGGGCACCCCCGTATCAACCCCCACTCCCAATATATGATCCTAATGGAGACAAAATACCACCCTACTTAATATTAAACAAACCCTAATTAATATTAATATCGCTCTTAATTACCCCCCCCCCCCCGCCAGGTACCGGAAGTACCGCCGTCGCTGTCGCCGCTGTTGGAGCGTCCCGAGAAGGAGCGCCCTCCCCCCGCCTGCGGCGCGGTGCCCCCAGTGCGGGGCTGAAGACCCCCCTCGGGGAGGGGAAGTTCATATGGACGCCCCCCAGGAGTGAGAACGGGCCTCCCCCACCCCCAGGAGTGATAATGGGGAGCACATGGGGCCCCCCCCCCCCCAAGGAAAGGGGCTGAGAATGGACTTCCCCCCCCCCCCCCAGATTAATAATGGGGGGCAATGGACCCCCCCAGGAGTGACAATGGGGGCAGTAACGGACCCCCCGCCCCCGAGGAGTGGGGTTATGGGGTGGGATTTGGGGGTCCTGTTTGTGGCTATGGGGCAGGGGTGCGGGGCGGAGTTCGGGGGTCCCCATTGGATACTATGGGAGTAGGGGGCGGGCTTACGGAGGGGGTGAGATTTGAGGTTTCCCATTGGTCGCTATGGGGTGAGGGCGGGGCGTTCTTTCCCATGTGATCCCGCCCCCTCCACCCCCACTCCACCCCTCCAACCCCCCCAGAAGTGACGGCGGCAGCGCAGCGCAGCGCCGGCACCGCGTGGTACCGGCACTGTCAGCATCAGTGTCACCAGCAGCCACCAGCACTGTCACCGCTGCCACCATCACTGGGATTGTCACCGTTGCTGCCATCACCGCTGCCAGGTTGGTCATCATCACTGCTGTCACCATCACTGCTGGCACCAGAGTTGTCACCATCACCAGGGCTGCCACCAGCGCCACCGTCACCGGGATTGTCACCATCACTGCTGTCACCGCTGCTCAGTTGTCACGGCGGTACAGGTGCGGTGAGTTGGGGGGGCGCCCACGTGCAATGCACGCCCACATGCGAAATGTGCTCACACCCACGTGCAATGCACGCCCACACACGCAGTGCACAGCCAGGTGCACACGCGTTGCACGCCCTCATGCACGCTCACCCCCCCACGCGTGGCCGCTTCCCTGTGCGTTGCACGCAGCCCACGCTTTGCACACCCACACATCACAGCGCTGCGTTCGCACGTGGGGGTGTGGAGGGGGAGGGGGGGAGCTGCTGTGTGAGCCTTCAACCTCCCCTCCTCATCCTCACCCCGTTCCCGACCTTCCTCCGCTCCTCATCCTTGCCCCTATTCCTGCCCATTGCCTTCATCCCCTCCTCATCCTCCCCCCCATCCCTATCCATGACATTCATCCCCAACCTTCCTCCCCTCCTTATCCTCACTCCCATCCTCATCCCTATTACCATGCGAAGCTTCATCCCTTCCTCATCCTCGTCCCCTATTCCTACCTATAGCTTTCCTTCCCTCCTCATCCTCACCACTATCCCCATAACCTTCATCCCCTCCTCATCCTCATCCCCTCCCTCCCCCCCTCAGCACTGACGGGACCCCATGGCTGCCCCCCAAGCGGCCGCAAAGCTGCTGCCCCCCCTCCTCCTGGCACTCGCAGGTAATGGGGATGGGGATGGGGCAATCTGGGGGGGGTCCCCATATTTGTTAGTATGTAGGGGGGTGGACACAACCCTGACCTGATGGGGCACGGAATGCTGCTCTGGATTTGAGGTCCTGGTTTGCTGCTGGGGGTCTGTTTGGGTCTGGGATCCTGCTTTGGGGTCAGGGTCCCATTTTGGACCGAAGGCTCCATTTGGGTCTGGGGTCCCCCTCTATACTCACTGCCCCATTTGGCTCTGGGGTCTCACCCTGACCCCAGCATCCCATTTGGGTCTGTGGTCTCCGATTGGTCTGAAGGCCCCATTTGGGGTCTGCCAGCCCCCTCAGCCACTTTCTGGGTCCGCTCGTGGCCGCGTGTCGCCGTGGTTCCGTTTGGCGGTTCGGTGCCCATCAACTGCAGCCGCGGTTTCTGCCCGGGTCTCGCGGTGCCACCGGAGCTGAGCTGGGCGCTGGGCAGCACCGCCGGGCCGGGCGGCCGCCGCTGGAGAACCTTCGTCCTCACCAACGTCACCGAATGGGAGCCGGAGCCGGCGCTGTGCAGAGCGCGGTGCGGGGACAGCAGTGCCAACAGCAGCACTGCCATCATCGTGTACAGTGAGATGGGGGGATTGGGACTGGGGAGGGATGGGGATTGGGGCATGATTGGCTTTGGGTGCGATTGGGAGTGGGGTAGGATGGAATGGAGTGGGGGGGATGGGGATGGGGATGGGACTGGGATTGGGGTGGGGATAGGGATGGGATTGGGATGGGATATAGGGTTGGGAATGGGATTTGGATGGGGATGTGGTTGGGCCAGCACTCTCATGGGGCCGGGATTGGGACGGGGAGGATGGGATATAGGGTTGGGATTGGGGTTAGGATTGGGATGGTATGTTGGGATTGGGATGGGATATAGGGTTGGGATTGGCTGCAGGCGGATCTGCGACGCCCCCCTCTCCCCGCTCTGCTCTGCCCCCATAAGAGCAGCCAGACTGGGTGCGTTTGGACGCGGTGCCGGCGGTGCCGGTGGGTGCCGCAGTGACCCTGCAGTGCCACGTGGCTGAGTGCGCCCCGCTGGCCAACCTGACGGTGACGCTGCGTCACGGCACAGAGACCCTCAGCACCCACAGTTTCCCCGCCGCCCCCGGCAGCGCCGCCGTCACCGTCAGCCACACGCTGACCGCCGGGCCCGGCGACCACGGCCAGCCGGTGCGCTGCCACGCCGAGCTCTCCCTGCGCCCGCATGGGCCGCTCTTCGCCCGCGCCGCGGCGCCCATCCGGCTATCGGTGTACGGTGAGGGCAGCACCACGGGATCCTCATCTCTAATTCAGTCCCTAATCCAATCCCAATCCATGTCCCTATTCCAATCTTAATTCCAATCTCTATCCCAATTTCAAACAAGATCCAATTCCAATCCCAATCTAATCCCATCACAATCACCATGTCATCCCCATTGCCATCCAATCCCATTTCCATCCCAATCCCCATTTCATCCCCTTTTCCATCCCCACCCCCCTATGCTCTCGCCCGTGGCTCTCAGCCCCCCTCACAATGCCTCCCCCCCGCCCCAGCCCTCCCAGATCCCCCCCAGCTGTTCTCCCCGCCGCACCTCGAAGCCGACACCGCAGCGGCCGGCAGCTGCCGTGTGCTGGGCGCCTTCCCGGCGGAGGAGACCCGCGTGGTGCTGGCACTGGATGGGGACCCTTTGGAGACGGAGGTGACGGCGACAGCGGAGGCGGTGACGGCCGTGGCTCAGATCAACGCCCGCACCGTGGGGCACCGCGAGCTCAGCTGCACCGCCGCTGTGGGCGCAGCAGAACAGACGGCGCGGGCGCTGATCCACGTTTACCGTATGGACAGAACTGAATCTCGTGGATCCCAGCCCCATAGATCCAAATCCCGAGACCCCAACCCTGAGATCCCACCCCAACATGCAACTCGAAATGGATCAGATGGTTGGACTTACGGCCATAGAGATCTTTCCCCTCCTTAAGGATTCCATGACTTAAGGCTTCCAAAATCCATCCCCAATCCCATGGGGTACCCACCACTGCCCCCTCCCACCTGCAACCCCCAGACCACCACTCCCATGTGCGTTCCACCCCAAAACCCCAAATCCCACAGCCACCCCTCCCCCTCCCACCCTGATCACCCCAGCCCCTCTCTCACCCCATAGGATTCCCAGCGCCCATCCTGGAGCTGAGCCCGGTGCCTGCGGGTCTCCCGGTGTCGGTTTGGTGCCGCTCGGCGCCTGCCGACCCCCCCTCAGTGCGGCTGCAGCTGCGTGATGCCGATGGCGGGGTCCTGGCTGAGGGTCCCCAGCCGGCGCTGGAGCTGCGCATGGTGCCCCAGCGGGAGGACGATGGGCGCTGGTTTGGGTGCAGCGCCCGCCTGGCCCTGGGGGACGATGTGGTGACCAAAGAAGCCGAGGGGAGGCTGACGGTGCTCTGTAAGTCCCTGCCGTGGTCCCTGTTGGCCCCATGTGCAGTTGGGAAGAGAGTGGGGAGGAGGGGGAATGTTTGGGGTGGTCCCCTTCCTGTCCCATCGCCATCCCCATTCTGTCCTCATTCTCATCTCAATGCCAATTCCCCTTCCTCGCCTCCGTCCCGTTCCTCGCCTCCGTCCCATTCCACATACATTTTCACCTCTGTCTCCATCCAACCCCTCACCCTTCATCCCCCCTTCCACCCCAACCCCACCCTCCCAATCCTATCCTATCCTATCTCCATCTCGCCCCACTCCTCCCATCTCACTCCTCCCGTGTCCATCCAACCCTGCATCCATCCCATCCCGCCGACCCCCCCTCCTCCCATCACATTTTCCTCCCCAGACCCCCCTGAGATGGACTCTACCTCCTGCCCCACATCCCTCACATGGTTGGAGGGCACAAGGGAAACTCTCTCCTGTGGGGCTGCTGGTAACCCCACACCTGTCGTCACCTGCACCCGCCGCGGTGACCCCCCCGGCACCGCCGGACCCATCCTGGTCACCCGGTCCCATGCGGGGATCTACCACTGCAACGCCACCAACAGCGTGGGGACACGGAGCCGCGTTGTCACCGTCCGTGTGGAGTGTGAGTGGGGCGAGTGGGGGGCACTGCGGGGGGCATTAGGGATGAATGGGGTGGTGGCATTGGGGGGGCTCAGGTTAGTTGTGGGTCTGGGTGATGCCAAATACGGACATATTTTATTAGGGAAGGTAGGAATACGGGGTGAGGGGGATTGGTTTGGGACTAAAAGGGGCAGATTTGGGTCGGATGTGGGGTGAAATTCTTCCTCTTGAGGTGGGGGGGGGAGTCTGAGGGGATCCCACAGTTGGCTGGGTGGGATTTGGGTACCAAATAGGCAGGGGGTAAAACTGGGGGGAACCTTGAGGTCCCAACTGGAAATTGTGGTTCTGTAATTATGTGATTATGGGAGTCTCTAATTAATTATGCGATTGTGCGATCCCACGATTTGCTGATCCCATGATTCAGTGATTCGATGATCCCGTGAGTCTCCAATTCCACCTTCTGTTGATCCCACAACTCACCGATCCCACGATTCGATGACCCCACGCTTCCCTCCTCACCTCCCTTACCCCCAGATGAGCCCTCGCTGTCGGAGCTCGGCTGCCCGGCGCACCGCACGTGGCTGGAAGGGCAGCGCCGGGAGCTGCCGTGCAGCGCCGATGGGGACCCTGCGCCCACCACGCACTGCGCCCGCCATGGGGGACCCCCGGGGGATGAGGATGGCCGCACCGTCAGCCGCGGCGACGCCGGGCGTTACGTCTGCACCGCCACCAACCGGCACGGGTCGGCGCGGCGCAGCGTCGACGTCACCGTCGAGTGTGAGTGGGGAGATGGGGTGCTGAGTTTGTGCGGGGAGTGCCGTTGTGTCTGGGCCAGGGGTGCCATTGTGACCGGGTTAGGGATGCCGTGTCTGTGCCAGTAGTGTCACCGTGCCAGGGATGCTGCGTTTGTGCCAGATTGCCATACCCATGCCAAGGATGTCACCATGTTCGTATTAGGAGTGCCACATCCACGCTGTGGCCAAAGTGGAGATGCCATGGCTCTACCAAGTTGGGAATGTGGTTGACCCTACCATGACCAAACCAGGGATGCCATGAACACCCAGGAACACCGTGACCGTGCCGGTGCCGCCGTCGGTGCCATCATGGTTCCCCTTCCTCCCCTCAGACCAACCCAGCATTGGCGATGCCGACTGCCCAGCGCGGCGGCTGTGGGTGGAGGGCACAGCGGCGGAGCTGGAATGCAACGCCAGTGGGAATCCCCCCCCCAGTGTAGCTTGCTCCAAACTGGGAGACCCCCACGCCCCCCCTGGCAGTGCCAATGTCACCCGTGCCCACGCCGGCACCTACCAATGCCAGGCCACCAACGTGCATGGCACGGCACTGCAGAACGTCACCATCACTGTGGAGTGTGAGTGAGGTGATGGGGGGAGGGTATGGGGGGGGCGATTTGGGGGTGGGGGTTTTGGGAGGGGGTAAAATGAGGAGTTGGGGTAAAGATGGGGGACTTGGGGGTTTCTGGGGGTAAAAAATGAGGGGTTGGAGGTAAAGATGGGGAAGTTAGGGGTTTTGGGGGGGAAATGGAGGAATTGAAAGGTAAAAATGGGGTTATAAGAGGGATAAAAATAGGAGGTAGGGGGGTAAAAATTGGAGGTTGGGGGTTTTGGGGGGTAAAAAATGAGGTGTTGGTGATTTAGGGGGTAAAAATTGGGGTTTTGGGGGGTTTAAAAATGGGGGCTTTGAGGTTTGGAGGATCAGAAAAGAAGGAAACCGATGGGTTTGGGTTCCCCGATCGCCATTTCTGGGGGACGGCTTGAGGCTGGAAGGGAAAAGAAGGGAGAGCGAGGGGCCATTTTGGGGCTCAAAGGGGCCCTTTCGGGTTTTCCCTCTCGCACAGACAGCCCCGCAGCCCTCACCCTCCGCGTGCTGCCGTCCCCCAACGTGAGCCGCGGCGGCAGCTTCAGCGTGGAGTGCGGCGCTGAGGGGGTCCCGACTCCCACCTTTGGGTGGGCGCTGCCCCCTGCCCCCAACTTGCGCTTCGGGGCCGACAACCGGTCGGTGGAGGTGGAGAACGCGGCGGCCGTCAATCGCGGCCGCTACACCTGCATGGCTGTCAACCGGCACGGCCGGCGCGTGGGCAGCGTGGTGGTGAGCGTGGATGGTGAGCCCTGGGGGACAGAGGGGTGGTGTCACCAGTGGGGTGTCGATGTCACCAGTGGGGTGTCGATGTCACCAGTGGGTGTGGATGTCACCAGTGGGGTGTCACGGTCACCGCTGCGGTCTCCCCTGCGTGCCGTCACCACGAAGGTGCCACAGTCGAGGTGTCACATGAGTGTTGTTGGCACGGTGTTGATGCCACCGGTGCCACACCGTGGTTCCGCTGTCCCCGCAGAGAGCCGGCTGTCCCTGCTGCTGTCCCTGTCCCTGCTGGGTTCTGTCACCGTGCTGGCAGCGGCCGCATGGGGCATTTATTACATGAAGACCACTGCCTGCAAGAAGGGAGAGTACAACGTGCGTGATGCCGAGGGCTCCTCCGAGGCCTCCCGCCTGCACCGGGGGGACAGCGGGGGACAACGGGAGCTGTTTGGGATCCCTCTCACCCCCACCTGAGGAACCTCAGCACCCGGGACCCCCAGAGCACATGGAGGTGGAGACAGTGTGGTGACACCTGGACCGAGGGATGGTGGTGGGGGTCGCCATGCTGTGCCCGTGGGGGTGGTGGTGGCTGTCATCATATTGTCCGCAAGAAGCTGTGTTGGTTGTCGTCGTATGTCCCGAAGAAATGGTGTTGGATGTGCCCAAGAAACAGCGTTGGATGTCACTGTGCTGTTGGATGTCCTCAATTAACAGTGTTGGATGTCACCATATTGTCCCCAAAGAACAGTGTTGGATGTCACATAAACCGTCCTCAAGGAATAGACTTGGATGTCACCAAACTGTCTCCAAGGAATGGTGTTGGATGTCACCAAATGTCCCCAAGGAGCAACGCTGGTGTCATTGCTCCATCCCCGTGGGTTGGTGTTGGATTCAGCCCAATTTGTGGCCAATGCCGTTTTTTAACTGCTTTGCTTTGCATTTTATGGAGGTTATTGGGAAGGGAGGGGAAGGAGGCAAGGAATGTAAATTAAAAATAAAATTTTTATTGAGAAGGACGAAAGTGGAGCAACAGCCTGGTCCCAAACTCCTCCCCATACCCCCACCCCCCACTTGGTGCCACTCAGCAGCCCCTGCCCCCCCAGTACGGCCCCGATGGCACCTGGTGGAAGAGTCTGGGGGGGACACCACAGTTGTCACCCCCACTTTTTATCGGCTCACAACACCCCCTGCACCTTCATCGTCCTCACCTTCATCACCAGAACCCACCGTGGCCCCCCCACCCTGGGCCAGCGAGGTGTTGGGGGACAGCATGAAGTCAGCGTGACACCAGTCCTCATCCACTGGGTAACACCACTGTGGTGTCCCTGGGCCAGAGGTTGTGTCCCCATCGGTGTCACTCATGGGCTACGGCTAGCTGTGTGTCCCTATAGATGTCCCCCATCAGGTACCACTGGTTGTGTCCCTATAGGTGTCACCATGGGGTACCACCACATTGTCCCTATAGATGTCCCCCACTGGGTACCACCACCCCCATCACACTGCTGTCAGTCTGCTCACCCCTCTGAGGGTCCCATGGGACATTCCCACCCTGCACCCATGGGTGCTACGCTTGTGTCCCTGGTGCTGACCCATTTGGGGAGGCTGTAGCCCCATCCGAGAAGGCCCCCAAAGCCAAGAGGCGCTGCTGCTCCTTCTGCAGCTCATACTGACGGATCTTCTTCTTACGGTAATACAGGCGGTACAGAGCAGCCCCAACTGCAGCCAGCACCGCCACCACCACCGCCAGCGCCACCAAAAGGCCCACGTTGATGTCCCAGTCTGGGGCAGAAAGTGGTGTCAGCACCCCACGTGTGTCAACCTCTACTCCAACTCCATACACCCATCCCCACATGCGTCACTGCCCCACATGTGTAACCACCAACCCCCTATGCCCATCCCCACGTGCGTCACCTCCACCCCAATGACCCCATCCCTATGCGTCTCACCATCCCACATTTGTCACCCCATCCCCCACCACCCCGTGTGTCACCATTCCATGTGCTCACCATCCCAGCTGTGTCACCGCCCCACATGTATCCCCCCCCCCCCCACTCACACTCCACCCTCACGCTGACGCTCCGTCCAGTCGTGCCCAAGGCGTTGCTGGCGCTGCACCAATACGTCCCGCTGTGGTTCCGGCTGACGACACACGGCTGTTGCATGAGGATGATGGTGCCATCCTTGTGACATGTCACCACTGGGTCGGGTTTTCCTCGTGCACGGCACCACTGGTTCACCTCCTGGCCCTCCGTCCAGGTGTGGGTTGGGGGGCAGAGTTGGTCGTCCATGTGGGGTGGGGCTAGGGGGAAAAATGGGGTTCAAAATTGGGCCAAAGGGTTTGCCTCGGGACCAGTGGGGTTTGCACAGGGACTGAGGGGTTTTGCATTCACAGCAGGAATTTTGCACTACAACTAAGGGCTTTTGCACGAGAGCTGTGGGATTTTGCGCCAGGTCTAAGGGGTTTTGCTCTGTGATCGCGGGGCTTCTGCACTGCCGTTACGGGGTTTTGCACCAGGGCTGTGGCCAACCCCCAACGCCAGCCACCCACCGCTGACATTCAGCCTCACGACGTCGCTCCATTTCGGAGCTCTGCCCTCCACTTTGGCCTCGCAGTGCAGCTCGGAGCCGTCGTGCCCCTCCGTCACCAGCAGTGTGAAAAGCAGCGGCGATGGCCCCCAGGGTGCCAACACCCTTTGCCCGACCATCACCCGCAGCTCGATGCCCTCCCTGTGCCCTCCAGGCAGCTCGCAGAGTCCCGACACGTTCTGCATCGCCACGGGGATGTCGGTGCTGACACTGAGCTGCGGCGTGGGGAAATCTGTGGGTGACAATCAGAGAGGTGACGCCCATGGGATGCTGGCACAGAATGCTTGGGTTGGACGGACCCCAAGGATCACGGAGCTCCAACCCCCCCCAGCTGCATGCAGGGCCACCAACCTCCCATCGAACACCATCCCAGCTGCCCATCCAACCCGGCCTCAAACACCTCCAGGGACGGACGGCGCACCCACAGCTTCTCAGTGCAGCTGTTCCAGCACCTCTTCACTCTCATAAGAACAAACTTCCCCAAGTCCTCCCAACCCCTGTATGGGAACCGCTGAGTCACGTTCTGAACCTCTGATTGATCACCTGAGGCGAGCAGTGAGGCAGCCAGAGGAGCACAGCTGAGGGCAATTCACCTGAGCTGCCGGAAGCCTGGCTCCCCCCTCCTAGACCTATTTAAGAGCTGGCTGCCATTGGGGAAGGAGCTCTGCTGGAGTTTTGTGAGCCCAGGATAAGAGTAAGTCTTCCATTTTTTCTCTTTTGTTATTATAGTCTACTTTGGCTAACTCTCTTGTTTATTCTGTGATTATAACAGCCTAATATTCTTTGATTATACACCCCCGCTGACCCCCAACCTCATTCTCCCCCTATTCCAGGCCCCCAGTTCTCCTCCTGCTCTGTCTGGCTGCAGCCCCTGGATCCAACCTCAATCTTCCCTCCCTCAACTTCAAGCCATTTCCCCTTGTCCTGCTGTTATCTCCCCTTTCCAAGAGTTGATTCCCTCCTGTTTGTAGGCTCCCTTTAGGTACTGAAGGCTGCAATGAGGTCACCCCGCAGCCTTCGTTTCTCCAGGCCGAACAAGCGCAGCTCCCTCAGCCTGTTTCTGTAGAGGAGGTGCTGCAGCCCTCTGCCCACCTCAGTGCTCTTCTCCCTGTCTCGGTGCCCCTCCTCTGGACCCTCTCCAGCAGCTCCCTGTCTTTCTTGCACTGAGATTCCCAGATCTGGTTGCAATTCTGCAGATGGGGCCTCTGTGACAGCAGAGTGGTTTAATCCCCCCCCCAGTCCCACTGCCACCCTTCTGCTGATGCAGCCCAGGATTCCATTTGCTTTCCAAGCTGTAATCACACACTGCTGCTTCGTGTTCAGCTTTTTGCTGTCCAGGTCCTTCTCTGCAGGGCTGCTCCCCCCACCACTCTGTACACACCTGAGATTCCTCTGGCCCAAGCGCAAACCTTTGCATTTTCTGATGCTGACCCTCGTTAGATTCACCCATGCCCTCCTTCCCAGCCTGCTGAGGTCCCTCTGATCCCCATGGTCTACCTGTTGTCACCCCCCCTTGTCACCCTATTGCCTCCACGGTCTGACTGTTGTCCCCCCCACCATTCCCACTGTCACTGCTGACTGTTGTCACTCCCCCCTCCATTGTCCCCTTGCTCCACCTGCAGCCCCCCCTGCACCCCTCCTTCCCCACAGCGCCACCCGCTGCCATTGTGCCACGCTCACCATAAACGTTCACCACCAGCTCCGTGCTCTGTGCCTCAGGCCCCACTCTCACCCTGCACACCAATTTGTGCTTTCCAGGCTGATTCCACAGCAGCCCCCCAGTCCCCACACTCTGACTGTCCTCGCTGTATGGCTTCAGCGGTTCCCCATCCAGCAGCAGGGTGATGTTGGCTGCAGGGAAGGCGTTCCGGACGCTGCAGGTCAGGTTGAGCTCCTCGCCAGTTTCCAGGCGGACGTCGGCTGTCGTTTGGAGGGCTGGGGGGGATGAGGTAAGCGTGGGGGGGTCCGGGAAATCTGCAGTGGAGGGGAAGAGTCAGAGGGTGGGGGGGCAGAGGGGAGGGCTGCAGGTGGACCAAGGGGACAATTGGGGGAGGGCAACAGTCAGACAGCAGTGACAATGGGAGTGGAGGGAGGGACAACAGCGTTACAATGGTAACGAATGTGACCACGCTGGCAGCTCACCATAGACGTCCACCAGCTGTGCAGTGGAGGTGGTGTTGAACAGCGGGCCGTACGGCCGCAGGTCGAGCTCTGCACGGCAGGTGATGCTCTGCCCATGGTCCTCCCGCCGTGCCATCACCTCATGTGTCACCAACACGTCCTCCGGCTGCTTCTGGGAGTGCCCCCAGAAAGTGGCTGTGTGCAGAGTGAGGCCACCACGGCACAGGGACACCGTCAGGTTGCGGACTGGGGACACGTTGGGGACAAGGCAGGACAGGATGTGAGCATGGCCGGACTGCAGGGGGGGAATTGGTGACAGCTCCGGCTGGTCCAATGAGCCTGGGGGGGGAAAAAGGGGACAAAAGTGACAAAAGGTGAGAAAGGGTGACAATGATGAGGACTGAAGTTGATAATGTGGTGAGAAAAGGTGACAAGAGGTGACAAAAGGGAGAATGATGGTGACCAAAGGTGACAGCAATGGTGACGGAAGGGTGACAAGTAATGGTGACAGTGATGGCAACAGTGACGAAAGCGACAGAAGGTCTTGGTGATGGTGACAATGATGGTGACGTTGGTGACCGAAGGTGACAACAGTGACAGGAGGTGCCAACGCCGTCTCCTGGCAGCCTTACGGTAGGCGATGAGCTCTGCCTTCTCCCACTCCCTGCCCCCGTGGCAGCGGAAGTAGCACTTCAGGCTGCTGTTCCACTCGGTGACGTTGCTCAGTGTCACATCCAGCACCGTCGCGTTGCGGGGCTGACGACTGTGGCGCGATGAAGTCTCCACGCCGCCCTGCACCAGGGGGTCACTGCAGGAAGTGCTGCAGGTGATGTTGAGGGAGCCGCCGAATGGAACCAACAGCACCGGGGGCTGCAGCCAGACGGAGCAGGAGGAGAACTGGGGGCCTGGAATGGGGGGAGAATGAGGTTGGTGTCAGTGGGGGTGGGGGGGTTGGGAGAACTTGGCAGCAGATGGTTGGAGGGGGTGGAGGACCCCCATATGGGGACATAGGGCACCAAGAACCCCCCATATGGGGATGTGGGGACCCTCAAATCTGTCCTCCAGGGGATACAGGTTATGGAGGACCCCCATATGGGGACACAGGGAACAAAAGACCCCCATATGGGGCCATGGGAACTTCCCCCCCCCCCCCCCCCCCCCCTGCAGTTTGTTCCATATGGGGAAGCACCACTTCACCCCCCTCACCCCCCATAGTTCCCCTCTCAAGAAGCAGAGCCGTGTGGGAACTGATTTCCACTTCCTCCTCCACCCCCAAAGCACGGGGGGGGGAACACACGTGGAGGATGGGGGGTCACACGTGGGGGAGGTAACACAAATGAGGGGCATGCGTGGTGGGGGGGAGAGGGAAACATGCTGCTATGGGGCACGAGGTGGTGGGGAGGCTGCATGGATTCTGACTTCACCCTACACCCCCCCCCCGTTTCCGAATTAATAATAATAAAAAAGTAATTAATTAAAGGAGATGTGCCCATCTGCTGAGTGACCTCCAGATGCTGACAGCTGCTGTCAGGCACGAGCAGGGGGGAGAGGGGAGGGGTGGATTCTGAACCCTCCACCCCACCCCCCCCCATTTCCGGATGGGAAAAGGAAAAGAAAGTAACAATAATAAAAATTAAATAAACAAATAAAGAATTCCGGGGAATTCCTGAGTGCCAAAAAGGGATTTTGTAACTGAAAGGAAATGAAAAGAATCCCTGTGACATCCTCGAAGGCTTCCGGAGTTGGGGGGAGGAGGGGAGGGGGGGGCGCGCACACACATGTGAGCCATTGTGTGTCCATAGGGACCCCCAGATCTCTGTAACCCCACATCTCTGTGCCCCACGTATCCCTACGACCCCACACCCCCATGTCCCTCTTCCCCACTTATCTCCACCACACATCCCTGTGCCCCACACAGCCCTGTGACCCCATAACCCTGTGCCCCCACACTTCTATATCCCCATAGACCACATAGCCCTCTGACTGCACCCACTGCCATCCCAAACCTGCTGCCCCCCACCCCATTGCCCCATACCCCCCTGACTGCCCCCCACCCCATTTCTCACCTGTAAGCACACTCAGGCAGCCCAGCAGCAGTGGGAGTGCAGTGTGACGCATTGTGGGATCAATGGGAATGCAGGGGGACGGATCCTATGGGGATCCCCACAACTTTGGGGTCCAATTGGGATCCCCAAGAACTCTCCCAATCGGGTCCAACTGGGAGCTCCAGGTGATGGGATCCAATCAGGATCTCCAATGGGGTCCGATCAGGATCTCCAGATTATAGGGTCCAATTAAGATCTCCAAGAATTATCCAATAGGATCCAATGGGGATCTCCAGGCGATGGGATCCGATGGACTCAGGACCCCCAGCAACCCCCCCGATGGTTCCCACTCCTGTCCTCCTGAATCCCGGCACTCAATGGGGTCAGAATCCCGCGGCCGCCCTACGGTCCGTTCCCCTCTTCCGCGCTCCGCCCCCGGGGCCGCCCCTATTTCCATTGCGGCCCTATAGAGGCTGAGCCTCGCCCCCATATAGGGTGGAGGGACCGCGGGGGGGGGGAATTCCGGGATGGAGGGGATTTTGGAGCGGGGAATGCCCCGGGAAAGGGCTGGGAGGGGAGAGTCCCGCTGCGGGGTGCAGATCGTTTCAGCCCTATAGACACAACATGGGGAAGGTCGAGCCCCTGTTGCCCCAACATGGGGCAGATTTGGAGCCCCTATTGCCCCTGCATGAGACTCCATACGACCCCCTATGCCTCAAACTCCCCAAATCTGCCCCAAATCTGTTCCCCCCCCCCACCCCACGTGATTTCCCCATGACGTCACCACGTGACCTCATCCCCCAAACGCGTGGGTTTGGGTTCTGCTTTTTTCTTTAAATTCCCGTTTTTTGGGGACTTTTCTCACCCAACGGCAGCAGTGGGGCGACAGCGATGGGAGCCCAGTGATGGAAGGAGAAGAACCCCCCTGGGACCCCAATAATGGCACCTTTGGGACCCCCATAATGGAAGTGGGCTGACCCCCATATTTGCAATGATGTGACCCCATGGAACCCCAGTAACAGTGGGTGACCCCACTGAGAAGCACAGGGGGGAACTGAAGGGAAATCGGTGGCTCTGGGTGTCGTTTTCTACCAGGACATAAGGGAAATTCCCCCCAGATAGGACACTTTCACCCAGAAATTCCACTTTCCTCCCCAAAATATGATACGTTCTCTGAGAATTACGAAGTTTTCTCCCCTAAAATAACACTTTTCTCCCAAATATAGGATATTACCTCCCACAAACACCAGTTTTCACCCCAAAAATACGACATTTCCTCCTTGAAAGCTAATATTCCACATTTTTTGAAAGAAAACTGGTATTTCTGGGAGAAAATGTCTTATTTTTTGGATGAGATGAGAGGGACAGCGTCTGAAAACCAAAAGGCTACTTTGAACTGGGTTGTATGGAGCTCCTCCTCTCCGACCATGAAGTCCCTTGGATCTGCAGGTCTTCTGATCCGAAGGTCTTCTGCCATAGCAGCAGCGGCGGGCTTTAACAGCCTGCAGTGCTTCCTGCAGAGGCGTCCCTGCGGCGCTCTGATGGGTGACCGAAGCCCAGTTGCAGGGCGCGCAGTTTGCAGTGGTTTGGTCACAACAGCATTTCACAGGTGTTGCAGTTAGAAAGGTTACTGCAATAGTAAGTAATTGGCACCCAGAAATAAATGCAATGCTCACCCGGGTCCTAGGCTTGTAGAAGAAAACTCCAAGGAGAAAGACCTGCAGAAAGAGAATCACAGAATCATCTCTAGATGGGAGTCCGTGACAGGGGCACAAACCCAGGAGACAGAAGAGAGAAAAAAAAAAGCAATCGTACATATTAACAGCGCAGCCAGCTCCCGCCCCACAACTAATGAGACACGGCACGTGGCAGACCAGGCACTCTGGGGGAGGGAGAGAGAATAGGGAGACAGCAGATGGGTCTAACAAGAAAAAAAACCAACGGCAGCGATCTGAGAAGGAGCAGTAATTTACTAAACCCAACCAAACCAAACGAGAAACAAACAGAGCATCAAACACAAGTTCTTACACAGGGGAAGCACGGTACCTTTTTCGCTGCTTTGGTCCAGCTGGGAATTCCACCTTCTTTCCTCTGCACTCCAGGTCCTCCAGGAACACCGCTCCTCTCCTCCTGTCTGAGAGCCCAAAATACCCATAAGGGCATTCAAGGACCAGAACAGGAACTCTTTAACACGCTTTACACGATGCTCTGATGTGGAACAATGACAACAGAAGTCACAAATCACAGCAGAGATCCTTCCCCAGCAGCAGCCAGCCCTTAAATGGGGTCCAGGAGAGGTGCAGCCAGGCTCCGCCCCTTCGTTACACATCTGCATCGCCTTCACCTGCGCTCCCACAGCTGGCTCGGTCCTCGCCTCAGGTGTTCAATCAGCGCTCCAGGCCCTGACCCAACAGCTCCCATTCGCAGGGCTACGAAACGACAGCTGTGTGTCGCTGGGAGCACTGGGTGTGCAAACAGCACTCGCTGCATCCCCAGCAGTGATTGCAGCCCTTTGCTCTCTGGGCTGCTCACACAGATCTCAGCATCTGCTGTGCCAGCACTGAGATCTGTGCTCCCCTGTCTGTTAGAAGAACCATCCATTGGCATCGAGGACAAACTGGGATCAAAATGTGTGGGCTGTGGCAGGTCACCCATCCACAAACCTCCCTCGGCAGACGTTCATTTTCCTCATTATCCCCGTTCTGTGGCTGTACCGGCACTTTAAGGGCACGGCCCCAAGCTGTGATGGAGCACCTGGGGGGGGGGCACGGCCCTGCAGCACAGCTGGGGGCAGTTTGGCTGTGGGCGGGGCTGAGCTGGGCTCCACCCCTCCCTGGGGAGTGCTGCCTTGGTAGTGTGGGTGAGCCCTGCTCCTTGGGATGGGGGATTCCTTCTCTCTTACAGGGCTGTGATCTATTCCTTTTTGGGGGATCCTGACTGCGTTGGAGGGCTGGCAGCCACCTGCACCTGGAAGCTGCTTCCTTTGAGCGTGGTGAGCATTGGTCCTTGGAATGGGGTAAGCGGTTCCATTTGTATTTCAGGGTTGTGACCTCCCCTTTTGGGGGTTCCTCACCTCATTTAGGGGCTGGTAGCTGTAAGGGCAGCACCTGAACCTGGAGACTGCTTCCTCTGGGGTGTGGGGTGAGCCTTAGGATGGGGTGAGTGATTCCTGATTTATTTCAGAGCTGTGAGCTCTGCCTTTCTGGGGGATCTCAAGTTGGGTTAGAGTGGCTGTATCTGCTATGTGGGTTGTTTCTTATTCGATGGTTCTCATCTCATAACTTCCAGTCTGGGGCCCCAAATGTGGTTTATCTGCTCCCACATCATCCCACTTTGGCTGTAATGCACAGTGCTATCTGTTAATTGCATCCATGCAGAGTTTTTTAAGGACATTCTATGCATCATTATCATGTACTAACTTATGTTCTGTATCTTTTCTGACTTCATTTTGCAACCCGATGGGGTTCAAGGATTGCCTGGGCTCCTCCAGTCAGTGGTGTGCGATCAGTGCAGCAGGTAATGAACACCATGAGCCCCGTGTTGGTGCATTGCTTGTATGCAGGTTGGTTTGCGATGAGGTCCAGCTCCGCCACAATGATCACCCAGCTGGATCAGGCTATGAGCAGCCTGATCCAGCCTCACCTTGAAAGGGGCAGCGCATCCACCACGTCTCTGGCAATATGTTCCACTGCCACCTCTTGCGCAATAGGGGGCCAGACCGGCACACGCGCAATAGGTTGCCAGCCAGACGCAGGCGCAGTAGGGTGCCATCCTGGCGCATGCGCAGAAGGCTGCCAACCTAGCGCATGGGCAGTAACGTGCCACTCAAAACCATGCGCAGTAGGGAGACAAATCAGCGCAAGCGCAATAGAATGCAAGCCCAGCACATGCGCAGTGGGGACCCAACGTGGCGCATGCGCAGTAGAGTGCAAACCCAGCGCATGAGTACTAGGGTGCGAGACCGCCCCTTGCGCAGTATGATACGTCACGGCGCATGTGCAACAGGGCGCCAGCCCGACTCATGCGAACTACGGTGCCTACCCGGCGCACGCGCAGTAGAGAGACAAGTTAGCGCATGCGCAAAATGCTGAAAACAGGACGCATGCGCACTACAAAGCCTACACTGCGCATGGGCACCACGCTGCAGAAATTCACATGCGCAGAAGCGTACGAACCCAGCGCATGCGCACTACGAAGCTTACATGACGCACGCGCAGAAGTGTGCCAGGCCGGGGCAAGCACAATACAGATCCTGTCCGAAACATGCGCAGTAAAATGCCAGCCCAGCGCATGCGCAGTAAAGTACAAAAACCGGCGCAAGCGCAGTAGGGTGAAAGCCCAGCGCATGCGCAGTAGGGTATCTGCTTGGCGCATTGGCATGACAAAGCAATGTTTAAGGGGAAAAACAGGGATTTCTATGAAAATAAGCGATATTTTAGGGTAAAAACAGGGATTTCCCATGAAAATAGGCGATATTTTAGGTTAAAAACAGGGATTTCCATGAAAATAAGCGATATTTTAGGGGAAAAACAGGGATTTCGATGAAAATAAGCGATATTTTAGGGTTAAAAACAGGGATTTCTGTGAAAATAAGGGATATTTTAGGGTTAAAAAAAGGGATTTCCATGGAAATAAGCAATATTTTAGGGTTAAAAACAGGGATTTCCATGAAAATAAGCGATATTTTAATGTTAAAAACAGGGATTTCTATGAAAATAAGCGATATTTTAGGTTAAAAACAGGGATTTCCATGAAAATAAGCGATATTTTAGGGGAAAAGCAGGGATTTCCATGAAAATAAGGTGTAATTTAGTGTTAAAAACAGGATTTCCAAGAAAATAAGCGATATTTTAGTGTTAAAAACAGGGATTTCTATGAAAATAAGCGATATTTTAGGGTTAAAAAGAGGATTTCCATGAAAATAAGCGATATTTTAGGTTAAAAACAGGGATTTCTATGAAAATAAGCGATATTTTAGGGTTAAAAAGAGGATTTCCATGAAAATAAGCGATATTTTAGGTTAAAAACAGGGATTTCTATGAAAATAAGCGATATTTTAGGGTTAAAAACAGGGATTTCTATGAAAATAAGCGATATTTTAGGGGAAAAGCAGGGATTTCCATGAAAATAAGCGATATTTTAGGGTTAAAAACAGGGATTTCTATGAAAATAAGCGATATTTTAGGGTTAAAAACAGGGATTTCTATGAAAATAAGCGATATTTTAGGGGAAAAACAGGGATTTCCATGGATATAAGCGATATTTTAGGTTAAAAACAGGGATTTCTATGAAAATAAGCGATATTTTAGGGGAAATAACAGGGATTTCGATGAAAATAAGCGATATTTTAGGGGAAAAACAGGGATTTCTATGAAAATAAGCGATATTTTAGGTTAAAAACAGGGATTTCCATGAAAATAAGCGATATTTTAGGGGAAAAACAGGGATTTCTATGAAAATAAGCGATATTTTAGGGTTAAAAACAGGGATTTCTATGAAAATAAGCGATATTTTAGGGGAAAAACAGGGATTTCTGTGAAAATAAGCGATATTTTAGGGTTAAAAATAGGGATTTCTATGAAAATAAGCGATATTTTAGGGGAAAAACAGGGATTTCCGTGAAAATAAGCGATATTTTAGGGGAAAAACAGGGATTTCCGTGAAAATAAGCGATATTTTAGGGGAAAGAACAGGGATTTCCATGAAAATAAGCGATATTTTATGTTAAAAACAGGGATGTCTGTGAAAATAAGCGATATTTTAGGGGAAAAACAGGGATTTCTATGAAAATAAGCGATATTTTAGGGGAAAAACAGGGATTTCTGTGAAAATAAGAGATATTTTAGGGTTAAAAGCAGGGATTTCTATGAAAATAAGCGATATTTTAGGGTTAAAAGCAGGGATTTCCATGAAAATAAGCGATATTTTAGGGTTAAAAGCAGGGATTTCCATGAATATAAGCGATATTTTAGGGATAAAAACAGGGATTTCTATGAAAATAAGCGATATTTTAGGGGAAAAAAAGGGATTTCTATGAAAATAAGCGATATTTAAGGGTTGAAAACAGGGATTTCCATGAAAGTAAGCGATATTTTAGGGGAAAAACAGGGATTTCTATGAAAATAAGCGATATTTTAGGGTTAAAAACAGGGATTTCTATGAAAATAAGCGATATTTTAGGGTTAAAAGCAGGGATTTCTATGAAAATAAGCGATATTTTAGGGGAAAAGCAGGGATTTCCATGAAAATAAGCGATATTTTAGGGTTAAAAACAGGGATTTCCATGAAAATAAGCGATATTTTAGGGTTAAAAACAGGGATTTCTATGAAAATAAGCGATATTTTAGGGGAAAAACAGGGATTTCTATGAAAATAAGCGATATTTTAGGGTTAAAAACAGGGATTTCCATGAAAATAAGCGATATTTTAGGGTTAAAAGCAGGGATTTCCATGAAAATAAGCGATATTTTAGGGTTAAAAGCAGGGATTTCCATGAAAATAAGCGATATTTTAGGGGAAAAACAGGGATTTCTGTGATAATCAGCGATATTTTATGTTAAAAACAGGGATTTCTATGAAAATAAGCGATATTTTAGGGTTAAAAACAGGGATTTCTATGAAAATAAGCGATATTTTAGGGATAAAAAAAGGGATTTCCTATGAAAATAAGCGATATTTTAGGGGAAAAACAGGGATTTCTATGAAAATAAGCGATATTTTAGGGATAAAAAAAGGGATTTCCATGAAAATAAGCGATATTTTAGGGATAAAAACAGGGATTTCTATGAAAATAAGCGATATTTTAGGGTTATAAACAGGGATTTCTATGAAAATAAGCGATATTTTAGGGTTAAAAACAGGGATTTCCATGAAAATAAGCGATATTTTAGGGTTAAAAACAGGGATTTCTATGAAAATAAGCGATATTTTAGGGGAAAAACAGGGATTTCCATGAAAATAAGCGATATTTTAGGGGAAAAGCAGGGATTTCTATGAAAATAAGCGATATTTTAGTTTTAAAAACAGGGATTTCTATGAAAATAAGCGATATTTTAGGGGAAAAGCAGGGATTTCTATGAAAATAAGGGATATTTTAGGGTTAAAAACAGGGATTTCCATGAAAATAAGCGATATTTTATGTTAAAAACAGGGATTTCCGTGAAAATAAGCGATATTTTAGGGGAAAAACAGGGATTTCCATGAAAATAAGCGATATTTTAGGGGAAAAGCAGGGATTTCTATGAAAATAAGCGATATTTTAGTTTTAAAAACAGGGATTTCTATGAAAATAAGCGATATTTTAGGGGAAAAGCAGGGATTTCTATGAAAATAAGGGATATTTTAGGGTTAAAAGCAGGGATTTCCATGAAAATAAGCGATATTTTATGTTAAAAACAGGGAATTCCGTGAAAATAAGCGATATTTTAGGGGAAAAACAGGGATTTCTGTGAAAATAAGCGATATTTTAAGGTTAAAAAAAGGGATTTCTATGAAAATAAGCGATATTTTAGGGGAAAAACAGGGATTTCGATGAAAATAAGCGATATTTTAGGGATAAAAACAGGGATTTCTATGAAAATAACCGATATTTTAGGGGAAAACCAGGGATTTCTATGAAAATAAGCGATATTTTAGGTTAAAAACAGGGATTTCCATGAAAATAAGCAATATTTTAGGGTTAAAAACAGGGATTTCCATGAAAATAAGCGATATTTTAGGGTTAAAAACAGGGATTTCTATGAAAATAAGCGATATTTTAGGGGAAAAGCAGGGATTTCCATGAAAATAAGCGATATTTTAGGGTTAAAAACAGGGATTTCCGCGAAAATAAGCGATATTTTAGGGTTAAAAACAGGGATTTCTGTGAAAATAAGCGATATTTTAGGTTAAAAACAGGGATTTCCGTGAAAATAAGCGATATTTTAGGGTTAAAAACAGGGATTTCCATGAAAATAAGGGATATTTCAGGGTTAAAAGCTGGGATTTCCATGAAAATAAGCGATATTTTAGGGATAAAAACAGGGATTTCTATGAAAATAAGCGATATTTTAGGGGAAAAACAGGGATTTATATAAAAATAAGCGATATTTTAGGTGAAATGCAGGGATTTCCATGAAAATAAGCGATATTTTAGGGTGAAAAACAGGGATTTCTATGAAAATAAGCGATATTTTAGGGTTAAAAACAGGGATTTCTATGAAAATAAGTGATATTTTAGGGGAAAAACAGGGATTTCCATGAAAATAAGCGATATTTTAGGGTTAAAAACAGGGATTTCTATGAAAATAAGCGATATTTTAGGGGAAAAGCAGGGATTTCCATGAAAATAAGCGATATTTTAGGGTTAAAAACAGGGATTTCGATGAAAATAAGCGATATTTTAGGGGAAAAACATGGATTTCTATGAAAATAAGCGATATTTTAGGGTTAAAAACAGGGATTTGCATGAAAATCAGTGATATTTCAGGGTTAAAAACAGGGATTTCTATGAAAATAAGGTGTAAATTAGTGTTAAAAACAGGATTTCCATGAAAATAAGCGATATTTTAGGGGAAAAACAGGGATTTCTATGAAAATAAGCGATATTTTAGGGTTAAAAAAAGGGATTTCTATGAAAATAAGCGATATTTTAAAGGAAAAACAGGGATTTCTATGAAAATAAGCGATATTTTAGGGGAAAAACAGGGATTTCTATGAAAATAAGGGATATTTTAGGGGAAAAGCAGGGATTTCCATGAAAATAAGCGATATTTTATGTTAAAAACAGGGAATTCCGTGAAAATAAGCGATATTTTAGGGGAAAAACAGGGATTTCTATGAAAATAAGCGATATTTTAGGGGAAAAGCAGGGATTTCTATGAAAATAAGCGATATTTTAGTTTTAAAAACAGGGATTTCTATGAAAATAAGCGATATTTTAGGGGAAAAGCAGGGATTTCTATGAAAATAAGCGATATTTTAGGGTTAAAAGCAGGGATTTCCATGAAAATAAGCGATATTTTATGTTAAAAACAGGGATTTCTATGAAAATAAGCGATATTTTAGGGGAAAAACAGGGATTTCTGTGAAAATAAGCGATATTTTAAGGTTAAAAAAAGGGATTTCTATGAAAATAAGCGATATTATAGGGGAAAAACAGGGATTTCGATGAAAATAAGCGATATTTTAGGGATAAAAACAGGGATTTCTATGAAAATAAGCGATATTTTAGGGGAAAAACAGGGATTTCTATGAAAATAAGCGATATTTTAGGTTAAAAACAGGGATTTCCATGAAAATAAGCGATATTTTAGGGTTAAAAACAGGGATTTCCATGAAAATAAGCGATATTTTAGGGTTAAAAACAGGGATTTCTATGAAAATAAGCGATATTTTAGGGGAAAAGCAGGGATTTCCATGAAAATAAGCGATATTTTAGGGTTAAAAACAGGGATTTCCGCGAAAATAAGCGATATTTTAGGGTTAAAAACAGGGATTTCTGTGAAAATAAGCGATATTTTAGGTTAAAAACAGGGATTTCCGTGAAAATAAGCGATATTTTAGGGTTAAAAACAGGGATTTCCATGAAAATAAGCGATATTTTAGGGTTAAAAGCAGGGATTTCCATGAAAATAAGCGATATTTTAGGGATAAAAACCGGATTTCCATGAAAATAAGCAGTATTTTAGGGGAAAAACAGGGATTTATATAAAAATAAGCGATATTTTAGGTGAAATGCAGGGATTTCCATGAAAATAAGCGATATTTTAGGGTGAAAATCAGGGATTTCCATGAAAATAAGCGATATTTTAGGGTTAAAAACAGGGATTTCTATGAAAATAAGTGATATTTTAGGGGAAAAACAGGGATTTCTATGAAAATAAGCGATATTTTAGGGTTAAAAACAGGGATTTCTATGAAAATAAGCGATATTTTAGGGGAAAAGCAGGGATTTCCATGAAAATAAGCGATATTTTAGGGTTAAAAACAAAGATTTCGATGAAAATAAGCGATATTTTAGGGGAAAAACATGGATTTCTATGAAAATAAGCGATATTTTAGGGTTAAAAACAGGGATTTGCATGAAAATAAGCGATATTTCAGGGTTAAAAACAGGGATTTCTATGAAAATAAGGTGTAATTTAGTGTTAAAAACAGGGATTTCCATGAAAATAAGGGATATTTTAGGGGAAAAACAGGGATTTCTATGAAAATAAGCGATATTTTAGGGTTAAAAAAAGGGATTTCTATGAAAATAAGCGATATTTTAAAGGAAAAACAGGGATTTCTATGAAAATAAGCGATATTTTAGGGGAAAAACAGGGATTTCTATGAAAATAAGCGATATTTTAGGGGAAAAGCAGGGATTTCCATGAAAATAAGCGATATTTTAGGGTTAAAAACAGGGATTTCTATGAAAATAAGCGATATTTCAGAGGAAAAACAGGGATTTCCATGAAAATAAGCGATATTTTAGGGGAAAAACAGGGATTTCTATGAAAATAAGCGATATTTTAGGGTTAAAAACAGGGATTTCGATGAAAATAAGCGATATTTTAGGGTGAAAAACAGGGATTTCCATGACAATAAGCGATATTTTAGGGGAAAAGCAGGGATTTCTATGAAAATAAGCGATATTTTAGTTTTAAAAACAGCGATTTCTATGAAAATAAGCGATATTTTAGGGGAAAAGCAGGGATTTCTATGAAAATAAGGGATATTTTAGGGTTAAAAGCAGGGATTTCCATGAAAATAAGCGATATTTTATGTTAAAAACAGGGAATTCCGTGAAAATAAGCGATATTTTAGGGGAAAAACAGGGATTTCTGTGAAAATAAGCGATATTTTAAGGTTAAAAAAAGGGATTTCTATGAAAATAAGCGATATTTTAGGGGAAAAACAGGGATTTCGATGAAAATAAGCGATATTTTAGGGATAAAAACAGGGATTTCTATGAAAATAACCGATATTTTAGGGGAAAACCAGGGATTTCTATGAAAATAAGCGATATTTTAGGTTAAAAACAGGGATTTCCATGAAAATAAGCGATATTTTAGGGTTAAAAACAGGGATTTCCATGAAAATAAGCGATATTTTAGGGTTAAAAACAGGGATTTCTATGAAAATAAGCGATATTTTAGGGGAAAAGCAGGGATTTCCATGAAAATAAGCGATATTTTAGGGTTAAAAACAGGGATTTCCGCGAAAATAAGCGATATTTTAGGGTTAAAAACAGGGATTTCTATGAAAATAAGCGATATTTTAGGTTAAAAACAGGGATTTCCGTGAAAATAAGCGATATTTTAGGGTTAAAAACAGGGATTTCCATGAAAATAAGCGATATTTTAGGGTTAAAAGCAGGGATTTCCATGAAAATAAGCGATATTTTAGGGTTAAAAACAGGGATTTCTATGAAAATAAGCGATATTTTAGGGGAAAAACAGGGATTTATATAAAAATAAGCGATATTTTAGGTGAAATGCAGGGATTTCCATGAAAATAAGCGATATTTTAGGGTGAAAAACAGGGATTTCCATGAAAATAAGCGATATTTTAGGGTTAAAAACAGGGTTTTCTATGAAAATAAGTGATATTTTAGGGGAAAAACAGGGATTTCTATGAAAATAAGCGATATTTTAGGGTTAAAAACAGGGATTTCTATGAAAATAAGCGATATTTTAGGGGAAAAGCAGGGATTTCCATGAAAATAAGCGATATTTTAGGGTTAAAAACAGGGATTTCGATGAAAATAAGCGATATTTTAGGGGAAAAACATGGATTTCTATGAAAATAAGCGATATTTTAGGGTTAAAAACAGGGATTTGCATGAAAATCAGTGATATTTCAGGGTTAAAAACAGGGATTTCTATGAAAATAAGGTGTAAATTAGTGTTAAAAACAGGATTTCCATGAAAATAAGGGATATTTTAGGGGAAAAACAGGGATTTCTATGAAAATAAGCGATATTTTAGGGTTAAAAACAGGGATTTCTATGAAAATAAGCGATATTTTAGGGGAAAAACAGGGATTTCTATGAAAATAAGCGATATTTTAGGGGAAAAACAGGGATTTCTATGAAAATAAGCGATATTTTAGGGGAAAACAGGGATTTCCATGAAAATAAGCGATATTTTAGGGTTAAAAACAGGGATTTCTATGAAAATAAGCGATATTTTAGGGGAAAAACAGGGATTTCCATGAAAATAAGCGATATTTTAGGGGAAAAACAGGGATTTCTATGAAAATAAGCGATATTTTAGGGTTAAAAACAGGGATTTCGATGAAAATAAGCGATATTTTAGGGTGAAAAACAGGGATTTCTATGAAAATAAGCGATATTTTAGGGCTAAAAACAGGGATTTCTATGAAAATAAGCGATATTTTAGGGTGAAAAACAGGGATTTCTAGGAAAATAAGCGATATTTTAGGGTTAAAAGCAGGGATTTCCATGAAAATAAGCGATATTTTAGGGTTAAAAACAGGGATTTCTATGAAAATAAGCGATATTTTAGGGGAAAAGCAGGGATTTCTATGAAAATAAGCGATATTTTAGGTTAAAAACAGGGATTTCCGTGAAAATAAGCGATATTTTAGGGGAAAAGCAGGGATTTCCATGAAAATAAGCGATATTTTAGTTAAAAACAGGGATTTCCATGAAAATAAGCGATATTTTCGGGGAAAAACAGGGATTTCTATGAAAATAAGCGATATTTTAGGGGAAAAACAGGGATTTCTATGAAAATAAGCGATATTTTAGGGTTAAAAGCAGGGATTTCCATGAATATAAGCGATATTTTAGGGATAAAAACAGGGATTTCCATGAAAATAAGCGATATTTTAGGGTTAAAAGCACGGATTTCCATAAAAATAAGCGATATTTTAGGTTAAAACAGGGATTTCTATGAAAATAAGCGATATTTTAGGGGAAAAACAGGGATTTCTATTAAAATAAGCGATATTTTAGGGTTGAAAACAGGGATTTCTATGAAAATAAGCGATATTTTAGGGTTAAAAGCAGGGATTTCCATGAAAATAAGCGATATTTTAGGGTTAAAAACAGGGATTTCTGTGAAAATAAGCGATATTTTATGTTAAAAACAGGGATTTCCATGGAAATAAGCAATATTTTAGGTTAAAAACAGGGAATTCTGTGAAAATAAGCGATATTTTAGGGGAAAAACAGGGATTTCCATGAAAATAAGCGATATTTTAAGGGGAAAAGCAGGGATTTCTATGAAAATAAGCGATATTTTAGGGTTAAAACAGGGATTTCTATGAAAATAAGCGATATTTTAGGGTTAAAAACAGGGATTTCCATGAAAATAAGCGATATTTTAGGGTTAAAAACAGGGATTTCTATGAAAATAAGCGATATTTTAGGGTTGAAAACAGGGATTTCTGTGAAAATAAGCGATATTTTAGGGTGAAAAACAGGGATTTCTATGAAAATAAGCGATATTTTAGGGTTAAAAGCAGGGATTTCCATGAAAATAAGCGATATTTTAGGGGAAAAACAGGGATTTCTATGAAAATAAGCGATATTTTAGGGTTAAAAACAGGGATTTCTATGAAAATAAGCGATATTTTAGGGGAAAAACAGGGATTTCTATGAAAATAAGCGATATTTTAGGGTTAAAACAGGGATTTCTGTGAAAATAAGCGATATTTTAGGGTTAAAAACAGGGATTTCCATGAAAATAAGCGATATTTTAGGGTTAAAAACAGGGATTTCTATGAAAATAAGCGATATTTTAGGGGAAAAGCAGGGATTTCTATGAAAATAAGCGATATTTTAGGGGAAAAGCAGAGATTTCGATGAAAATAAGCGATATTTTAGGGGAAAAGCAGGGATTTCCATGAAAATAAGCGATATTTTAGGGGAAAAACAGGGATTTCCATGAAAATCAGCGATATTTTAGAGGAAAAACAGGGATTTCCATGAGAATAAGCGATATTTTATGTTAAAAACAGGGATTTCTATGAAAATAAGGGATATTTCAGGGTTAAAAGCTGGGATTTCCATGAAAATAAGCGATATTTTAGGGCTAAAAACAGGGATTTCTATGAAAATAAGCGATATTTTAGGGTGAAAAACAGGGATTTCTATGAAAATAAGCGATATTTTAGGGTTAAAAGCAGGGATTTCCATGAAAATAAGCGATATTTTAGGGTTAAAAACAGGGATTTCTATGAAAATAAGCGATATTTTAGGGTTAAAACCAGGGATTTCCATAAAAATAAGCGATATTTTAGGTTAATAACAGGGATTTCGATGAAAATAAGCGATATTTTAGGGGAAAAACAGGGATTTCCATGAAAATAAGCGATATTTTAGGGGAAAAACAGGGATTTCTATGAAAATAAGCGATATTTTAGGGTTAAAAGCAGGGATTTCTATGAAAATAAGCGATATTTTATGTTAAAAGCAGGGATTTCCATGAAAATAAGCGATATTTTAGGGTTAAAAACAGGGATTTCCGTGAAAATAAGCGATATTTTAGGGTTGAAAACAGGGATTTCCATGAAAATAAGCGATATTTTAGGTTAAAAACAGGGATTTCTATGAAAATAAGCGATATTTAAGGGGAAAAACAGGGATTTCCATGAAAATAAGCGATATTTTAGGGTTAAAAACAGGGATTTCGATGAAAATAAGCGATATTTTATGTTAAAAACAGGGATTTCTATGAAAATAAGCGATATTTTAGGGTTAAAAACAGGGATTTCGATGAAAATAAGCGATATTTTAGGGTTAAAAACAGGGATTTCTATGAAAATAAGCGATATTTTAGGGTTAAAAACAGGGATTTCTATGAAAATAAGCGATATTTTAGGGGAAAAGCAGGGATTTCTATGAAAATAAGCGATATTTTAGGGTTAAAAACAGGGATTTCTATGGAAATGAGCGATATTTTAGGGTTAAAAACAGGGATTTCCATGAAAATAAGCGATATTTTAGGTTAAAAACAGGGAATTCTGTGAAAATAAGCGATATTTTAGGGGAAAAACAGGGATTTCCATGAAAATAAGGGATATTTTAGAGGAAAAGCAGAGATTTCTATGAAAATAAGCGATATTTTAGGGGAAAAACAGGGATTTCCATGAAAATAAGCGATATTTTAGGGTTAAAAACAGGGATTTCTGTGAAAATAAGCGATATTTTAGGGGAAAAACAGGGATTTCTATGAAAATAAGCGATATTTTAGGGGAAAAACAGGGATTTCCATGAAAATAAGCGATATTTTAGGGTTATAAACAGGGATTTCTATGAAAATAAGCGATATTTTAGGGTGAAAAACAGGGATTTCCATGAAAATAAGCGATATTTTAGGGTTAAAAACAGGGATTTCTATGAAAATAAGCGATATTTTAGGGGAAAAACAGGGATTTCTATGAAAATAAGCGATATTTTAGGGTTAAAAACAGGGATTTCTATGAAAATAAGCGATATTTTAGGGTTAAAAACAGGGATTTCTATGAAAATAAGCGATATTTTATGTTAAAAACAGGGATTTCGATGAAAATAAGCGATATTTTAGGGTGAAAAACAGGGATTTCTGTGAAAATAAGCGATATTTTATGTTAAAAACAGGGATTTCTATGAAAATAAGCGATATTTTAGGGTGAAAAACAGGGATTTCCATGAAAATAAGCGATATTTTAGGGGAAAAACAGGGATTTCTATGAAAATAAGCGATATTTTAGGGTTAGAAACAGGGATTTCTATGAAAATAAGCGATATTTTAGGTTAAAAACAGGGATTTCCTATGAAAATAAGCGATATTTTAGGGGAAAAACAGGGATTTCCATGAAAATAAGCGATATTTTAGGGTTGAAAACAGGGATTTCCATGAAAATAAGCGATATTTTATGTTAAAAACAGGGATTTCCATGAAAATAAGCGATATTTTAGGGTTAAAAACAGGGATTTCTATGAAAATAAGCGATATTTTATGTTAAAAACAGGGATTTCCATGAAAATAAGCGATATTTTAGGTTAAAAACAGGGATTTCTGTGAAAATAAGCGATATTTTAGGGGAAAACAGGGATTTCTATGAAAATAAGCGATATTTTAGGGTTAAAACAGGGATTTCTATGAAAATAAGCGATATTTTAGGGTTAAAAACAGGGATTTCCATGAAAATAAGCGATATTTTAGGGTTAAAAACAGGGATTTCTGTGAAAATAAGCGATATTTTAGGGTTGAAAACAGGGATTTCCATGAAAATAAGCGATATTTTAGGGTGAAAAACAGGGATTCCTATGAAAATAAGCGATATTTTAGGGTTAAAACAGGGATTTCCATGAAAATAAGCGATATTTTAGTTAAAAACAGGGATTTCTATGAAAATAAGCGATATTTTAGGGTTAAAACAGGGATTTCCATGAAAATAAGCGATATTTTAGGGATAAAAACAGGGATTTCTATGAAAATAAGCGATATTTTAGGGTGAAAAACAGGGATTTCCATGAAAATAAGCGATATTTTAGGGTGAAAAACAGGGATTTCGATGAAAATAAGCGATATTTTCAGGGTTAGAAACAGGGATTTCCATGAAAATAAGCGATATTTTAGGTTAAAAACAGGGATTTCCTATGAAAATAAGCGATATTTTAGGGGAAAAACAGGGATTTCCATGAAAATAAGCGATATTTTAGGGTTGAAAACAGGGATTTCCATGAAAATAAGCGATATTTTAGGGGAAAAACAGGGATTTCCATGAAAATAAGCGATATTTTAGGGTTAAAAACAGGGATTTCTATGAAAATAAGCGATATTTTAGTTAAAAACAGAGGTTTCCATGAAAATAAGCGATATTTTAGGGTTAAAAACAGGGATTTCTGTGAAAATAAGCGATATTTTAGAGGAAAAGCAGGGATTTCTATGAAAATAAGCGATATTTTAGGGTTAAAAGCAGGGATTTCTATGAAAATAAGCGATATTTTAGGGTTAAAAGCAGGGATTTCCATGAAAATAAGCGATATTTTAGGGTTAAAAACAGGGATTTCTGTGAAAATAAGCGATATTTTAGGGTTGAAAACAGGGATTTCCATGAAAATAAGCGATATTTTAGGGGAAAAACAGGGATTTCTATGAAAATAAGCGATATTTTAGGGTTAAAAGCAGGGATTTCTATGAAAATAAGCGATATTTTAGTTTTAAAAACAGGGATTTCTATGAAAATAAGCGATATTTTAGGGTTAAAAGCAGGGACTTCCATGAATATAAGCGATATTTTAGGGATAAAAACAGGGATTTCTATGAAAATAAGCGATATTTTAGGTTAAAAACAGGGGTTTCCATGAAAATAAGCGATATTTTAGGTTAAAAACAGGGAATTCTGTGAAAATAAGCGATATTTTAGAGGAAAAGCAGGGATTTCTATGAAAATAAGCGATATTTTAGGGTTAAAACAGGGATTTCTATGAAAATAAGCGATATTTTAGGGTTAAAAGCAGGGATTTCCATGAAAATAAGCGATATTTTAGTTTTAAAAACAGGGATTTCTATGAAAATAAGCGATATTTTAGGGTTAAAAGCAGGGATTTCCATGAAAATAAGCGATATTTTAGGGAAAAACAGGGATTTCTATGAAAATAAGCGATATTTTAGGTTAAAAACAGGGATTTCCATGAAAATAAGCGATATTTTAGGGTTAAAAGCAGGGATTTCTATGAAAATAAGCGATATTTTAGGGTTAAAAGCAGGGATTTCCATGAAAATAAGCGATATTTTAGGGTTAAAAACAGGGATTTCTATGGAAAATAAGCGATATTTTAGGGTTAAAAACAGGGATTTCTATGAAAATAAGCGATATTTTAGGGTTAAAAACAGGGATTTCTATGAAAATAAGCGATATTTTAGGGTTAAAAGCTGGGATTTCCATGAAAATAAGCGATATTTTAGGGTTAAAAACAGGGATTTCTATGGAAAATAAGCGATATTTTAGGGGAAAAACAGGGATTTCCATGAAAATAAGCGATATTTTAGGTTAAAAACAGGGATTTCTGTGAAAATAAGCGATATTTTAGGGGAAAAACAGGGATTTCTATGAAAATAAGCGATATTTTAGGGGAAAAACAGGGATTTCTATGAAAATAAGCGATATTTTAGGGGAAAAACAGGGATTTCCATGAAAATAAGCGATATTTTAGGGTTAAAAACAGGGATTTCTGTGAAAATAAGCGATATTTTAGGGGAAAAACAGGGATTTCTATGAAAATAAGCGATATTTTAGGGGAAAAACAGGGATTTCCATGAAAATAAGCGATATTTTAGGGTTATAAACAGGGATTTCTATGAAAATAAGCGATATTTTAGGGTGAAAAACAGGGATTTCTATGAAAATAAGCGATATTTTAGGGTTAAAAACAGGGATTTCTATGAAAATAAGCGATATTTTAGGGGAAAAACAGGGATTTCTATGAAAATAAGCGATATTTTAGGGTTAAAACAGGGATTTCTATGAAAATAAGCGATATTTTTAGGGGTAAAAACAGGGATTTCTATGAAAATAAGCGATATTTTATGTTAAAAACAGGGATTTCCATGAAAATAAGCGATATTTTAGTTTTAAAAACAGGGATTTCTATGAAAATAAGCGATATTTTAGGGTTAAAAGCAGGGATTTCTATGAAAATAAGCGATATTTTAGGGTTAAAAACAGGGATTTCCATGAAAATAAGCGATATTTTAGTTAAAAACAGGGATTTCTATGAAAATAAGCGATATTTTAGGGTTAAAAGCAGGGACTTCCATGAATATAAGCGATATTTTAGGGATAAAAACAGGGATTTCTATGAAAATAAGCGATATTTTAGGTTAAAAACAGGGGTTTCCATGAAAATAAGCGATATTTTAGGGTTAAAAACAGGGAATTCTGTGAAAATAAGCGATATTTTAGAGGAAAAGCAGGGATTTCTATGAAAATAAGCGATATTTTAGGGTTAAAAACAGGGATTTCTATGAAAATAAGCGATATTTTAGGGTTAAAAGCTGGGATTTCCATGAAAATAAGCGATATTTTAGGGTTAAAAACAGGGATTTCTGTGAAAATAAGCGATATTTTAGGGTTGAAAACAGGGATTTCCATGAAAATAAGCGATATTTTAGGGTTAAAAACAGGGATTTCTATGAAAATAAGCGATATTTTAGGGTTAAAAACAGGGATTTCCATGAAAATAAGCGATATTTTAGGTTAAAAACAGGGAATTCTGTGAAAATAAGCGATATTTTAGGGGAAAAACAGGGATTTCCATGAAAATAAGCGATATTTTAGAGGAAAAGCAGAGATTTCTATGAAAATAAGCGATATTTTAGAGGAAAAACAGGGATTTCCATGAAAATAAGCGATATTTTAGGGTTAAAAACAGGGATTTCTGTGAAAATAAGCGATATTTTAGGGGAAAAACAGGGATTTCTATGAATATAAGCGATATTTTAGGGGAAAAACAGGGATTTCCATGAAAATAAGCAATATTTTAGGGTTATAAACAGGGATTTCTATGAAAATAAGCGATATTTTAGGGGAAAAACAGGGATTTCCATGAAAATAAGCGATATTTTAGGGTTAAAAACAGGGATTTCTATGAAAATAAGCGATATTTTAGGGGAAAAACAGGGATTTCTATGAAAATAAGCGATATTTTAGGGTTAAAAGCAGGGATTTCCATGAAAATAAGCGATATTTTAGGGGTAAAAACAGGGATTTCTATGAAAATAAGCGATATTTTATGTTAAAAACAGGGATTTCCATGAAAATAAGCGATATTTTAGTTTTAAAAACAGGGATTTCTATGAAAATAAGCGATATTTTAGGGGATAAAACAGGGATTTCTATGAAAATAAGCGATATTTTAGGTTAAAAGCAGGGATTTCTATGAAAATAAGCGATATTTTAGGGTTAAAAGCTGGGATTTCCATGAAAATAAGCGATATTTTAGTTTTAAAAACAGGGATTTCTGTGAAAATAAGCGATATTTTAGGGTTGAAAACAGGGATTTCCATGAAAATAAGCGATATTTTAGGGTTAAAAACAGGGATTCCTATGAAAATAAGCGATATTTTAGGGTTAAAAGCAGGGATTTCTGTGAAAATAAGCGATATTTTAGTTTTAAAGACAGGGATTTCTATGAAAATAAGCGATATTTTAGGGTTAAAAGCAGGGACTTCCATGAATATAAGCGATATTTTAGGGATAAAAACAGGGATTTCTATGAAAATAAGCGATATTTTAGGGGAAAAACAGGGATTTCTATGAAAATAAGCGATATTTTAGGGTTAAAAACAGGGATTTCTATGACAATAAGCGATATTTTATGTTAAAAACAGGGATTTCCATGAAAATAAGCGATATTTTAGGGTTAAAAACAGGGATTTCTATGAAAATAAGCGATATTTTAGGGGAAAAACAGGGATTTCTATGAAAATAAGGGATATTTTAGGGGAAAAAACAGGGATTTCGATGAAAATAAGCGATATTTTAGGGGAAAAACAGGGATTTCTGTGAAAATAAGCGATATTTTAGGGGAAAAACAGGGATTTCTATGAAAATAAGCGATATTTTAGGGGAAAAACAGGGATTTCTATGAAAATAAGGGATATTTTAGGGATAAAAACAGGGATTTCTATGAAAATAACCAATATTTTAGGGGAAAACCAGGGATTTCTATGAAAATAAGCGATATTTTAGGGGAAAAAACAGGGATTTCTGTGAAAATAAGCGATATTTTTTGTTAAAAACAGGGATTTCTATGAAAATAAGCGATATTTTAGGGGAAAAAACAGGGATTTCCATGAAAATAAGCGATATTTTAGGGGAAAAACAGGGATTTCTGTGAAAATAAGCGATATTTTAGGGGAAAAACAGGGATTTCTGTGAAAATAAGCGATATTTTAGGGGAAAAACAGGGATTTCCGTGAAAATAAGCGATATTTTAGGGGAAAAACAGGGATTTCTATGAAAATAAGCGATATTTTAGGGGAAAGAACAGGGATTTCCATGAAAATAAGCGATATTTTATGTTAAAAACAGGGATGTCTGTGAAAATAAGCGATATTTTAGGGGAAAAACAGGGATTTCTATGAAAATAAGCGATATTTTAGGGGAAAAACAGGGATTTCTGTGAAAATAAGCGATATTTTATGTTAAAAGCAGGGATTTCCATGAAAATAAGCGATATTTTAGGGTTAAAAACAGGGATTTCCGTGAAAATAAGCGATATTTTAGGGGAAAAAACAGGGATTTCCATGAAAATAAGCGATATTTTAGGGGAAAAACAGGGATTTCCATGAAAATAAGCGATATTTTATGTTAAAAACAGGGATTTCTATGAAAATAAGCGATATTTTAAGGTTAAAAACAGGGATTTCCATGAATATAAGCAATATTTTAGGGGAAAAACAGGGATTTCTATGAAAATAAGCGATATTTTAGGGAAAAAACAGGGATTTCTATGAAAATAAGCGATATTTTAGGGTTAAAAACAGGGATTTCTATGAAAATAAGCGATATTTTAGGGGAAAAACAGGGATTTCCATGAAAATAAGCGATATTTTAGGGGAAAAAACAGGGATTTCTATGAAAATAAGCGATATTTTATGTTAAAAACAGGGATTTCTATGAAAATAAGCGATATTTTAGGGGTTAAAAACAGGGATTTCTATGAAAATAAGCGATATTTTATGTTAAAAACAGGGATTTCTATGAAAATAAGCGATATTTTATGTTAAAAACAGGGATTTCTGTGAAAATAAGCGATATTTTAGGGGAAAAACAGGGATTTCTATGAAAATAAGCGATATTTTATGTTAAAAACAGGGATTTCTATGAAAATAAGCGATATTTTAGGGGAAAAACAGGGATTTCTATGAAAATAAGCGATATTTTAGGGGAAAAACAGGGATTTCTATGAAAATAAGCGATATTTTAGGGGAAAACCAGGGATTTCTGTGAAAATAAGCGATATTTTAGGGGAAAAACAGGGATTTCTATGAAAATAAGCGATATTTTATGTTAAAAACAGGGATTTCTGTGAAAATAAGCGATATTTTAGGGGAAAAACAGGGATTTCTATGAAAATAAGCGATATTTTATGTTAAAAACAGGGATTTCTATGAAAATAAGCGATATTTTAGGGGAAAACCAGGGATTTCTGTGAAAATAAGCGATATTTTAGGGGAAAAACAGGGATTTCTATGAAAATAAGCGATATTTTATGTTAAAAACAGGGATTTCTATGAAAATAAGCAATATTTTAGGGGAAAAACAGGGATTTCTATGAAAATAAGCGATATTTTAGGGGAAAAACAGGGATTTCTGTGAAAATAAGCGATATTTTAGGGGAAAACCAGGGATTTCTGTGAAAATAAGCGATATTTTAGGGGAAAAACAGGGATTTTTATGAAAATAAGCGATGTTTTATTTTAAAAACAGGGATTTCTGTGAAAATAAGCGATATTTTAGGGGAAAAACACGGATTTCTATGAAAATAAGCGATATTTTATGTTAAAAACAGGGATTTCTATGAAAATAAGCGATATTTTAGGGTTAAAAACAGGGATTTCTATGAAAATAAGCGATATTTTATGTTAAAAACAGGGATTTCTGTGAACATCAGCGATATTTTAGGGGAAAAACAGGGATTTCAATGAAAATAAGCGATATTTTAGGGGAAAAAACAGGGATTTCTATGAAAATAAGCAATATTTTAGGGTTAAAAACAGGGATTTCCATGAAAATAAGCGATATTTTATGTTAAAAACAGGGATTTCTATGAAAATAAGCGATATTTTAGGGTTAAAAGCAGGGATTTCCATGAAAATAAGCAATATTTTAGGGTTAAAAACAGGGATTTCTATGAAAATAAGCGATATTTTAGGGGAAAACCAGGGATTTCTGTGAAAATAAGCGATATTTTATGTTAAAAACAGGGATTTCTATGAAAATAAGCGATATTTTAGGGAAAAAACAGGGATTTCTGTGAAAATAAGCGATATTTTATGTTAAAAACAGGGATTTCTATGAAAATAAGCAATATTTTAGGGGAAAAAACAGGGATTTCCATGAAAATAAGCGATATTTTAGGGGAAAAACAGGGATTTCTGTGAAAATAAGCGATATTTTAGGGGAAAAACAGGGATTTCTGTGAAAATAAGCGATATTTTAGGGGAAAAACAGGGATTTCTATGAAAATAAGCGATATTTTAGGGGAAAAACAGGGATTTCCATGAAAATAAGCGATATTTTATGTTAAAAACAGGGATGTCTGTGAAAATAAGCGATATTTTAGGGGAAAAACAGGGATTTCCGTGAAAATAAGCGATATTTTATGTTAAAAACAGGGATTTCTGTGAAAATAAGCGATATTTTAGGGGAAAAACAGGGATTTCTATGAAAATAAGCGATATTTTAGGGGAAAAACAGGGATTTCTATGAAAATAAGCGATATTTTATGTTAAAACCAGGGATTTCTGTGAAAATAAGCGATATTTTATGTTAAAAACAGGGATTTCTATGAAAATAAGCGATATTTTAGGGGAAAAAACAGGGATTTCTGTGAAAATAAGCGATATTTTACGGGAAAAACAGGGATTTCCTATGAAAATAAGCGATATTTTAGGGGAAAAAACAGGGATTTCCATGAAAATAAGCGATATTTTATGTTAAAAACAGGGATTTCTATGAAAATAAGCGATATTTTAGGGGAAAAAACAGGGATTTCCATGAAAATAAGCGATATTTTAGGGGAAAAACAGGGATTTCTGTGAAAATAAGCGATATTTTATGTTAAAAACAGGGATTTCTATGAAAATAAGCGATATTTTAGAGGAAAAACAGGGATTTCTGAGAAAATAAGCGATATTTTAGGGGAAAAACAGGGATTTCTATGAAAATAAGCGATATTTTATGTTAAAAACAGGGATTTCTGTGAACATCAGCGATATTTTAGGGGAAAA